TATTCATATAGTCTCTGGTAACTAAGCGTATACTGAATCGGTGGCAGGGTCTAATTGGGCCCCAGCAGGCACCACGATGGGCACAAAGACGTTACGTAATAAAACTAATTTTGACTTTTTTCAAGTAAATGATAAATTAACAAAGAACTGAAAAAGTTCTTTTCGATGATTTTTGAGATGGATTTTGATCTCCTTGAGCTGATTGAAGGAAACACCAAAGAATCAACTATACAGGGGAACTAAATAGAAAGCGTCTAAAATAAAAATCAAAGTGAGATTTGACGTATAGATGCTGCAAGAATTCGGTTTTTTTTTTCGAGTGAAGAAATTCTTATATGTAAGAACTAATTAAAACCTTTGCGTGACATGTGCTATCGGTTTGTTAAATGTAGGAAGCTTTTAGGGTCTTGGATCATTCATATGAAGTATTTAGTGTTGAGAATAAAACATGATAAATCACTAATTTAGCAATTGAAGCCCTTTACTTAAAAGAGGTAAATACGTAAAACTGTTCCTTTGTCATGATTACATCAGGAGTTACCTTTTGGAAACTTCACAGTCATGCATGTCCCAACCAAGGAATTGTTTACTGTATTGTTTCTCGCGAGTGTTATTAGATTAGAACCCGGCATATATAGAGGAGTTAAGAATTCATCTTTCGGTGACTTGTAGAATAAAATAAGGCTGATTTCATGCATGGTCTGGATACTTTTGTTTCTAAACTTGACATTGTTTGTTCCTCTCTTACAAATTTATATTTAGCTTTTAAGCCATTTCCTCTTTTTAAACAATGCAAACTTAAGAAACTCATGTCCTTCCACAAGTTTTATGTTGACTTAAGTTTTCCTCAATAGAATAATTGCCCTTGCCTGTTTTCTGTTTTTTTTTTTTTTTAATTATGATGTTTCTAAATAAGAGCTTTGTCGTTAGTTTTTTAGCGGGGCTCCCGCGCGCGCGATGCGCGCTTGGGACAGAGCCCAATACTCATGGAATATGGTCAACCTCGTTTCGTTTGGTCGTCACGTGATTGACCGAGCGTACGTACTACGTACGTACGCGTCTACAGATTGTACGGGTGGGATAGGGGAGACTATAAAAGGGAAGGGAGGGGTGTCTCAGGCGTGTCTTGGCAAGTCCACATCTTTTACATACGACATTCACAATATGGTCAATTGACAGCTGTCAAAACAGTATAGCCACTGATCAGTATCCCATGACCATATCGCGGACACATGTGTCAACTCATCGAGGTGACGTGATTTATTTGGACGCTGTCCGCTGACCAGTTAACTGTTTTACTAGATCGCGAACATGGAACAACGTTCAATCTCATACTTTCTAGCTAGTTTGGGAGCACAGGAAAACTGATAATGCACACATATTAGACATTAATGTTTTGATCAATTGGCAGCTGTCAAAACAGGGTACCCACTGACCAGTATGACTTGACCGTATCGCGGGCTCAGGTGTCGACCCATCGAAGTCAAGTATTTTTTGGAAGTTATCCGCTGACAAGTTACTAGTTTTCAAGTGATTGCAGGCTCAAGTTTATTTTTTTAAAATTCATATGAACAGTCCGGAATATCCCTAAATTTAAGGACAGGGCTAACTGGTCACGCGACACTTTTCAACCAATGAGAAGGCCCGCTTGTGTTTATCAACAAACAAATCAAAACATCGCCCCAGTGATCAAAAATTTTCAAAACAACGGACGGAGTCGGACAGAATCAGTCATCGTTTCGAGGTTCTCAGGCATATTTTTAAGACTTTTCATGAGGCATACACAATTTTTTTGAAGTGGATAGCGTATCGGAAGCCATATTGGAAGTGTCTCGAGAAATATTCAGCACAATTTGTGGCTTATTCTTCTTTTATCTTTTAAACAACGCGATGTATAGGAGAGATTTTGGTCGGCTTTCAAGGTAGGTGAACAAGTATCTATTATTTTTTCGATTCACAGATTTTTTACGAAGTTCTAGATATTTTTCCTCGATTGTCATATCGATTAACTTTTATCATGTTGAATGTGGGGGTGGCAGACAACCTAGAATTTTGGTAGACAATTTTTGAATTCCGAGGTCCAAAACACGTACGTTTTCCACTCCCGGGTTTCTCACAAAAGCCGTGTTATTACTTTTTTTCGCATTAGTACGAGCCTTTGCCTTTTTTCTTTTGAAGACCAAAACAACTTTATTAGTCTTATGGATATTCACGTACAACATCTCGCTTCACTTTGCCGAATTTTCGGGGATGAAATTACAGATGATAAGCGCAAGTTAGATACTAACCGCTTTGTTTCTGAAATTCACTAATCTGGAAAGATTTAATGTTGTTGGATTCTCCAAATGTTCATCCACCATTAAAAAACAATCAAAGAAACAAGGCAAATCTCAATTGTAAATGCTGTATTTCGCTACTCATTGAACATGCACTGATTATCTGGGATAAAATTAAAACATTGCAGGTCCTACAGCAATCAAAGAAAGCACCAGATGCGTGAAGTCAACACGAAACAACACAAAAAAACAAACAAGAAAAATTCATAAATTTGAACTACTTTCTATTCTTGTTATGATGACCGGTTCTTTGATTCTTGTCCTGTAGAAGTTAATAGGTAGTACCAATGCTGTTTTGTACGATCTCAACAAATTTTCACACTCTCTAAGGCTATTTTTACAGGGGACGAGTTTGCTTCTATCAAAAATCTTGCAAGCCATGCCAGTGAAGCCACGACCTCTGCGATCGGTCCGGAATCAGTTCGAACACCCCAATGATTCCTTACAATGATTAATGCTCTTATTCTCTTACATGACATGTTTTCTTTGAAATATTAAATGTGAAACCTAGACGAGTACTGTAAGCTCATCTTTAATTCTGTCCGACTCCGTCCGTTGTTTTGAAAATTTTTGATCACTGGGGCGATGTTTTGATTTGTTTGTTGATAAACACAAGCGCGCCATCTCATTGGTTAAAAAGTGGCGCGTGGCCAGTTGGCCCTGTCCTTAAATTTAGGGATATTCCGGACAGATGAAATGTGTTGTGTTTATGTGCCACACATGACCTCGGACGCGAAAATTCAGCCAGCTGTTACAGGTAGGGAAGACAGTTGCTTTTGACTTTTCTCACCATGGTCACGCCTTGGTCACGCCCTAAGTTCAATTTTTATGCTCTGATTGGTCAAAATTTGAGAGGTGTGTTCATGCACAAAATTTATGCAGCATCTTGAATCTTGTTTACTTTGACAGCTGAAGCTGACAGAGTTTTGTGTCAACTTGTGATGGTTTCAACTGTTTTTTTTCCACTGGATGTACAAAATGAAATTCAGCTGCTATCAGGAGTCTTCTGTTATTCATGGCTAGTTTGTTTATTGGATTTTTGGTTGAGAAATACGTCGCTTGTCAATGTCGGAAATCCGATTTCGGATGGCATCGTTTTCGTTATCACCTTGCTTGATGCGTAAGAGGGTTGGTCTGAAGCGATACTGGCCTTACTTGATACCTTTCAGGAGCTGCATCTCCAATGGTAAGCCAGAGTAATTATTGTATTTGATGTTTGTTTTTTGTATCTTATTTAATGAAGTCGAGCGTAGTTTATGCGGGAATTTAGTTTATGCACGTCAGTTGTAAGATTTGAGACAATGATCTGAACGAGTATCAGGTTTGATAAAAGCTTACAGAGCTTTAAAAAGCCTTTAGACGGTTTCTGTTTCTGACTGTAAAAGAAAGCTTTGAGCGATTTTCTTGCCTTGAGTTCGTCTTTGAAAAAAGCAAACACCGGGAAGCCGGCTTAGAACATTACTGACTTAAGCTTTAAACTCGAAGACTCAGGATTTTTAGAGACACTTTAATACTTGTCTTCCTGAATGAAAATTGTTGTCTCTGTACATGTTTCACCGAATTATATTTCTTTTATTGATTGCTGGTAGTCTCTTTGTAATTTTAATCGCTGTGCAGTTGTTTTCAGTCGTTCAGTGAACATGGCTTGCAGGAGTACTGAAAATGCCGCGTGTTAAACCATTTTAAAACAAAAAATAAACATAATAAGTTCTTTATTATGTTGGAGCCTAACTCTGTTAATGTTCATTCAAACACTCGCCACAGCTCGCACTACAAAAGTGAGAACCGGATGGCCGTATAGGTGATTTTGGAAATATTTTTAATGGTTTTGCTAAAAGCCCAAGCGTGAATGAGTGCAATTTGTATCGCAAAATTGTGAAATACTGCTTTCTGTCCAAGGTCTGAATGAAACAGTACTATGAGGCACTGTTTTTATCACCTCAGATGTGATGTATAAATGGTATGAAAGGTTGGTTTAACGCAGCCAGATTCACTTGGCCAGATTTTGCAAAGTAAACTTGTCGAACGCAAAAAAATCGGCCTGATTTTTTTCCAGGCCTAATTAATCTACGGTGATCAAGAGTCCTTATGGCTCTTAAATGTGATGGAAGATGATTACCAGTTTTTGGGTGTACATATGAGGCTATCAACTCGATGTAAGATTTGGTTCCTTCTTGGGCTGTTTGCAAATTATTTTTCTCTAAAATCACTTAGCCTTTCCCTCAAAAGTCACATAAATGTGCTCTAAAGTTAACTAAATTGTGGAATACAAGTTTATTGTTTGATTTAAATTATAAATTTATTAATGGGAGCCTCGCTTTTAGCCCTGGCTACATTTATATATTACAACAGTGTTTACCACTGGTAAAATTCATACCCCTGACGTTTAACTAGAAAAGAAATTTCTCAAAAACGGTTTCATTTTGGCATTTTTTTGTGTTACTAAGTTTTATCAAAAGTAACGAAGTATCCTCTTTGAGTTATATCTTTCATATGATAATAAGGCAAGCCGTCATTGATAATTGAAACGCCGTGAGTGAAACGTGTACAATGCTGAGTAAAGAAATCCATGAAGCACCAGCAAGAAAATATAAAGTGAAGCTTTAATTGAAGTAAGAAGTAGACGCAAGAAAGAAGTAAAGAAAGTGCACGTGTCGGTCGCAAGAGTGAGAAGAGATAAGAACCAAAATCAAGCTTTGCTTCATGACACCATCTGGTGCAGTAACTAAAGGCACAACAAGGCAAGTTTTAAGTGTTTTAAAATATCCCTCGATGTGTTCGTAATTTTTTAGCCTTCAATTTTGTGGTGAGCTTGGCTTCGTAGTGCGAGTTGTTTCCTGTAAAGGAGCTCTAAGCTTGCTAAAAAATAATGAAAGTGTATTTTTGGGACAACATTTTCGTATAACTTGTCAAATTCGCCACAACCCCACGGTAGTTTTGGTGAAGAATTTATTACTGAACTGAAAACAGATGCCATTTCTAAGTAACGATATACGCAGTTCCTTGTTGTCATCGGATTATTAAATTCATCGCATACACTTAGTAGCGAAGTATAAACCTTGTGCGGATACAGGGGTGGTTCAGGTGGGAAACTATGGTAAACTGAAATGAAAACGCTTAAACACGAGCGGTATCCCAAGTGGAGCGGGGCGAAAAAGAAATTAAAATTGGCGAGCGAAGCGAGCCGAGGGTGGGTGGGGGAGAAAGAAAAGGCGGGGAAGCCTGTAGACTTGTAACACGTATATTAATTGTTTATGCCATTTGTGCAAATATAAAATGGATTCAATTATACTGATATCGGTAAACTGTTTACTTAGGAGTTACTCGAAATATTTCCTAACTGAGAAAAATCAACTGCTATTCGCAGCTTGATTCATTGTCTTTTTTTTGCTCCCTGCCGTAATCGTCGACGTAAAATTGCTTCAGGTGAGTGAGTAGCCTCGTAAAAAAATTTGAACGACCGGGTTTAATTTGTTCGGTTGAGATTAACAAATAATACTTCGTATAATTTTAAACTTCTGAGCCTTTTTACGAAACTTTGCGTTGGCATTACAACTTAATTTTGACTATTTTTCTTTCGCAACTATTAAGACGGAAGCCATCAGGAAATTGAGTAATATTAATTTTCAGTGGACAAAAACCTTGTAGCAGAATGATTTAAACAATATCACATTCTTTTTTACATTTTTCAAGGGCTATAGATATGACTAGTTGGCTGTAATAACACCAATTAAGACTATATTTCTCATGGGAGCCCGAGAAAATAAATGCCAAATTTCACAAGAATTGTGAAAACACAGGTAAAATTCTGAAAATTTGATGTGTAAGATGTCATTTAATTTTTGTGAAATTTGACATTTATTTTCTCGGGCTCTCATATGAAATTTTCTTTGGTGTTATTACAGATAGCTAATTACATCTATAGCCCTTGAAAAATATAAAAAGAATGTGATAGTGTTTAAGTTATTCTGGTACAAGGTTTTTTTCCACTGAAAATTAATATTACTCAATTTCCTGATGGATTCCGTGCTTTTCTCACTTCGTTGTATTCGTTCAATTCGTTGTATCGCGCTGTCTATTTTGCAAACTTTGATGAAATTTCTGTTCAATCATCTTAAGAAACACATGTTTACTTGAACGAGTTCAAAAGGTCATGATTTGTGATTTGTGATTGGTGGATTTCGATCCGTTTAGTTTGTTTCTGTGTTTCAAGGTTTGTTGCTTGTGATCGTCCCGTTTCGGGCTACAGTGGTTAGTTTGCTGGGAAAATTTTTCTGAGCTGTCTTATTCTTGTCACTTGCAAGAATAAAGCAATGTCTGCCTCCTTCCCTCGACAAAAATTCCACTCACCATCGCGATTTCCTTCGTCATTGATTCTCAGTTTTGTTTTTGTGGACCAAGCTGGGCAAGCGCGTGCAAACATTGTGATTTGCATTAACCTCGCCTCCACTCAAAAGATTGACGGAACAGAAAAACCCAAAATCCCTTCGAAGCCTGCATAACGCGCAGCGCGACACAACGAATTTGGCAGTAAATGAACATAAATGATCTTAGTTAACAATTCACTAAGCAGATAGCCTGAGTATTGGGGCTTCCGTAGGAACTAAGGGAGAGAAGATTTTAAGGGACGAAAGGTTAGGGAGAAGAGAAAAAAGAAGTTTCTCTCCTTTCCGTCTTTCTGTCTGCCCTTTTTGTTTCTTTCTTCTCCTTTCCCTCTAAAAACGCCTTATACAGTAACTCAGGCTTCTATCCAGGGAAGTAAGCTTCTTTCACGTTTTTAAAAGAGTAGTTACTTGAAACATTCCATTTTTGCTATAATACTCTTGAGAGATTTTCATTGTATTGCCACATTGTCTCTCGTCATTAGCATACGCAGGCTTTTACAGCACGCAACCTTTAAATTCCAAGTCACTGCAATTCTAGGATTTTTAATATTAATATGTAATGAATAATAATTTTAATGGTAACGCACATTTTATTTTGATAATCTGTGCGGAATTGATTAGTTACATTAATCAAAATATAGTTATTAATAAAGACTATTAAATGATTATATCAATTATTATGATTATAATAAAAGTCCTCAAAAGTGCAGAAACGATCATTATGAGCCTTAGTTTACATTAAATTTCGTTCAACTAAATATCCGTTAGAGCGGCTGAGGCTTAATATTATCCTTTTAAAGATAAACCAAGGACAGAATTGAAGCTGATTGATTAGAGTACCTGAAAACTAAGTAAACATTTTGAAGATAAAAGTCTATTTTTTCTTTCAGAATGGTTGCAAAAGGATTCATTTCTTCTTTCTGCTGTTTTGCTCTCCTTGCATTCATAGCCAAGTCAGTAGATGCAACTGTAAGTGTACTGACGTTGTTCCCCCTTTTGTAGAATGTCTGCATTGCTTTGAAGGTGCGTTATCCGTTACTCAAGTCGGAGCCTGATGGCCTGATAGATGGATAGATCTTTTACTACAGTGGAACCTCGATATAACGAAGGGCCAAGGGACTGGCGAAATGTGTTATCTAAAACGAGGTTTCGCTCGATATAAGGAACTTCTACATAGAGAAGTCCTCGGTATAACGAATGGTTTTTCTTACCCCAGTGATAGTAAAAGATATGAAAAAAGAACCTCGCTATAACGAAACCTTAGATTGCGGCGAACACATTTTGTCAGTCTCTTGGCCCTTATTATATCGACAGGTTCCACTGTATCGAGGCTCTTTTTCATATATTTTACTATTACTGGGAAAAGGAAAATCGTTCGTTATATCGAGGACTTCGTTATGTAGAGGTTCGTTATATCGAGATTCCACTGCAACGTAAGCATTAAGCATATGATACCCAGGAACAATCTATCTTTTCTGGCAGAGTAAAGGGTGGGCCGCTGTTTAATCCAAATAAAATTCAAACGCTTTTTCTTTTCTGAACTTACTGTCAGTTTGAAGCTCATTATACATTACGTAGATAGATAAACGATTGATTGGTTGATAACTAAAGCTTGTGTCCGGTTTAATAATAGAGGATATGGGGCTCGCTTAATTCAGAGTTTACTGTATCTGTGACTTTCACGCTCCCCATAATAAAACTTGGTTTTCCCACAAAATTTTGTATAAGTTTTGTTTTCAGTTTTTCAATGGCGCGATTGTTACTCCCAAGCTACTGGAGAAATTGAAAGTAGTTCTTGGCAAAATCTTGTGGGGAGAACAGATTGTATTAAAGGGAATGTGAAAATCACATATGAAGAAAACGATGAACAGATTTCTAGTGCACATTATTGTGTCTCGTGTCAACGTCAGCGCCTTGACGTACACTGAAGAAGTTAATCATCAAAAATTCAGTCCTCTTAACACTGAAACATTTCAAACCTTTTTCTTCAGGAATGTGAGTTAGAATCAGGCGAGGTTTATCAGCCAGGCGAGGATTTCGTTATAGGTTGCAGCGCATCCTGTACTTGTGTAGGGCCCTTTTATGGGTGCAAGCTGTTGTGTGCCCAGGAACGGTGTCCTCCTGGCTCCGACCCAGTCTACGAGGACAGAGAGGTTTCAGGAACTAACTGCACTTGCAAAAGTAAGCGACCGTTTCTGGCTCTCAAAAAAAGTGTTTCAACCCGATTGCACGGCCATTTTAGAGTGCAAGTAGTCTGTTTTTAATAGGTTGAGAGAGCAGTATGTTACGACGCGCGAATGGGAAGGAGGCAGGAAATGAGCAAAAAGGCAGATAAGCGTATAGGTGTCTCTTCTCTCGTTTGCCTCGTTGCTTCCTAGTGCGCAATGTTCATCCTTGCGACATTTTCCGAGTGCCGCAGGAAAGGCTAATTCTCGTTTTACTTTAACAACAGAGTTTGGAAACACATTTTTCGTGGCCGTTGTAGCCAGTTAAGGTGAAGCTGAACCTGAAATGGAATGAAATGAAACGCTTGTAGTAGAAAACTTGGTCTCTACAATGAACTCAACTGTTTCACTCTTCAAACTGTTTTAATGTTGGTTCACTCTGTTAACACAACTTTTCACAATCCATCGCGTAGAATGCCCGGTCACATCCGGGAATTTAACAGGCTAAAGCCGCATTCGAGCCACGATTTGGTCTTTAAAATATGGCGGAATAATAAGACTGAAGCGACTTTTAGAGTTTTTTGTCTCTGATTGTGAGTTACTCGTAACCTAATCTCAATGGGTACCACCGGAATATTAATATCAAAAAACATCAAATTCAAGATCCTACCTTCGATTAATGCCAGCTTATCGGATTTCACTGGGTTTTTCGCGCTAAAAACCAACCAAAAAATCGCCATTTTTGTATGGATTTTCACTTGCGTAGACTTGCGCCGAAAGATTGCAACCAAAGTTTGCAGAAATCGCGAACGGTACCACCTGATATCGTGACATCTCTCTTCTGCCTTTAAAACCACTGCAGTCTTTTAAACCAAAGAATGTGATAAAAACTGGGTTTTTTGTTTTCCTTTGAATTTGACCTAAACCCGTGAGGGGTAGCCAGCGCGAAGAAAACGTCTTTGAAAGCCAAAAAAACATTCTCCGCGTTTCGGCCGCCATCTTTTCCATTTTTCAAACTTGTTTCCAGTTCTCCTTGACCGTTTTGTTGTTTTTAGCCCATGTATGCTTCATTTAGAAGTGTCACAGATAAAAACAGCAAAATACTAATCCCCACCCACACGGGAAATTTTTTGTTGACCTCAATGGACCGGGAATTCTACGCGACGAAGGCTAGTAATCTCTCTCTGACAAGAGCTAGTTGCAGCTCCTTTTATCCTGACTGAACTTGAAGGCTGCCAATCTTACTCAAACTTTTATATAATCTTACATCAGTAAAAGTTCCATTGGCTATTAGAATTACTAACACATTTTCCTTCGAGGTTGTCTCGTAATAGGAAAATTAGTTAAAACTCCAAAATTCACTTATATCCTACAAATGTCCAGTCAAAACAAAACAGTCAGAGAGACACAAAATTTACAAGGAAGGTTTACATGAATGAAAATCACAAATGTACAATACCGTCACTCTAAAATCTACAATTTGTCAATTCGCGTACAGTGCTAAAGTTCTTGTTGGAATATCGTACAGTAGTCCCGTCTTTTTCTCAAAAATTGTTTACAACTCTCTAGTCGAAATCAATTAACAAGGTATTTACATTGCGAAAACCTTTAAACAAAGATATCTCTCATTACAACTTTTAGCAGGTAAATTGAACTAGGCAGTAACAAATGCTTGTTTATTACAACTAATAAACTAAGATAGTCTGTTGGACAAGGTTTTCTTTGAAAGTGCACTCAAGTTTCGAACAAACCACAAAAACCGCGAAAGACAGTAAAAATAGGAATGTTCAGGAACAGACAACAAGGTCAAGTTTCTGAACATTTAAAAAAAAAACAAATTAAACCTATTGAAGATAACAAACAACTGTCATTGAATTTACCAGAACTAATTAGATTAAGAACTTCTGTATGGGCTCAGTTAAACAAGAAGCATCATTTCTTAATTGAATAGCGGCACGTGTACAAAGAGAAACCGACGACCAAAAGAGCATCATTACAAAGGAAGGTCAAACCCTATTAACGAAAAACAAATAGCTTTTGTAAACCCAGTACATTCTAGTAAAACACACTTATTTAGGGATTCAAAACACTCTACTCAATGATAATAATAATAATTAAAATATATTAAAACTAGCAACGACGGTTCACCGACACATTACCGAAACACTTCCGTTATTATCGTGGACGACTATCGACCGATATGTCGACCGACACTCAGCCGAAAGTCGACCGACACTCCACCGATACTCGATCTGTATTCGACCTACAGTCGATCGATATTCGATCGACAGTCGGCCGTTATATCGACCGATATGTCGACTGACACTCTGCCGATAGTCGACCAACACTCGACCGATACTCGACCGATATGTCGGTCGACACCCCCTATAAGACACATGATCCTTTTCATGTTGGTATTAACTTATACCCAAAAATATCGTTTTACACGCTTTTCATGTTTATTCTTTCTCTCGTTCTTAGGAATTAAGGAATGTATCTGAACATCCCTTCACTGCCATCATTGCCGGGGAGCTGAACTTAGTACCTACACTGTGAAGCAGCAGCATGTCATACATTTTGATCTTTATAATAATATGGCTCTACATGTTGTTAATCCAATGTCTTTATGAAATTTATCGTGATTAAATTCATATGAGTATGAACAAAACTCGTTTGAGACTTTCTATCCAAATCTTGCTGGCGTCAGTGGTGACGTGGAATCTTGCGAGTAAACAGTATTGTTTATACTTCGTAAAACAATCCTGAAACTTGACAGCAGCAACAGCAATAAATAACAACAACAAGCAAGAATCAAACACTCACTTGGTCAGTTATTTAAACGCCGTCTTTAAGTTACAGCGCCTTTAGAGACAATCCGAATCAGGGGCGCCTCGAAAGCTGTTTTGGGGAGACCACAGTCAGATTTCTCCTAACAGCAACAATACATCATCAAAAGAAAATGTTATGAGGATTATAGAATGATAAAGTGAGGGATTGTTGTATCTAATTCTTTAACCCTATTCAGACCAGGGGGAGCTTTTGATGAGGTCCTGCCTCACTAAAAAGTGAATAACCATAAAACGGTTTAACCCTTATCCCACCAAGTTGGGTTTAGACTGTTCACAGTCCTCTTTCTTTATAGGGGACTGTTAACAGTCCAAAAAAACGGGTTCCACTGCGACCCCAATTGTGGATTTTCACAAATTTGCTGCTTGCAAATGTGTCGCCAAAATGTAAAACTGTGAAGAATAAGGCCCGTTTCAAACGTCGTGCTACTGTCGTGCCGAACTAAATTGATCGAATTAATGTCGATTTTAGCACAGCAGTAGCGTGACGTTTAAAACCAAGTCGTGCTACTGCCGTGTAGCATGGCAGGCTTTGCTGTGCTACAGTGAGTAGCTTGACTTGTTTTCAAAAGTTGAGCTACTGCCTTGCCGAACTCAATTCAAAAATTATAAATACATTAGAATACATTTAAAAGTTTGCTAAACAGTTTCTTTATTTTTTGTTTTGTTTTCGGCAACAGCCGTTCTATTCGACTGAATTAAATTAGCCATCTGAAACGAAGTCGTGCTAGTGTCGTGCTGCAGTCGAACTACAGGGGAGCCAGCTTAGCACGGCAGTAGCACGACGTTTGAAACAGGCCTAAATCTGTGGCAAAGATGGTAAATAACACATTTGCATACCAAAAACACAGGTTTGTAAATAGGTATGCAAATGTAGTATTTACCACTTTTGACCTACAAGATTTGCTCTTAGTCGACCACCACCTTAAGGAAAATGGTGTACTGACAAGAAGAAAGTGCCGGAGATCTTCAACAACTATTTTTCTCTTATTCAAAATGTAGGTGAAGAACATGATAGTGATCCTAATGTTGCTGTGGACATTAGTGTTCACTCAACCATTGCTGCTATAAGAGACGAATGTGTGGTGGCTGCTCGGTTTGAGTTTAAGGTGGCTCCGTAATTAATACTAGAGCATTTAGCTGTGGCAAATTTTCCGTCATAACGTTTTCGATTTTAACGCGATGGCTGCGAAACTTTGCAAAGAACAACAGATATCATTTGGCAATAATACGAAATATTCTGATTTCATTGATGGTAAATATTTCTTGAGAAATTAGCGCTTAAAAGTACCCTAATGTTCAAAGAAAATCGCGTCTAGTAAAAAATTTTGCTGATATTTTTTACTGAAATTTCTGGTATCGGCTTTAATTGATATAATAAATATGCCAGAGGAATTTCAGGAAAATCGTTGGAGCAGAAGTCCGTAACTAAAAGTCGCTCAAAATTCAGCTGTGAAATTGTTTTGGAATTTAAAAAATAAATTACTATCAGGAAGAAGGAGACACCAGTTTGAATTTTCGGGACAAGTAAATTCAATGTTTGCTAATTCTGAAATCAAAAGCCGATTGCCTATCGTGCTATTCTTTAAAAGGTACTTTTCAGTTTTAGAAGCACTATAAATCGCTCCAAACCTTGCTATGACGTCGAATGACTTGTTCCTCGACATTTTTAAAATATCCTTTGGCAGTTTTGGTTCAAACTCCTGCTGCATACATTTTGATGTATTGCAATGCATCCTCAACGGCTTTTCTTGCTGTACGTTGTTTCCAATTCAGGAAAAAGGTATTGGGATTGTAAGCTACCTTGTATCGAAGCTCAGATAGAACTGTCCAGCACCTTTGTTTACGACCAGAAAATGAGCACGAGCGGCAGCTCTGCGAAATTCGCACCTCAGCCAGGGGACGAATGATAATGATACCCATGTCTGTGAACCGATCTGTATAAACATGTATTGCAGAGCAAAACATAATAATCAAGAAAAAATACCCATTCATTGAAGGAAGGAGGACAAAAATTCCAGAGTTGTAAATTTATTCACGGGCAGTATTTTTGCGATAATTTTATTTTGCACTGTGATGTTATTCGGTTCACAGGCTTGGTCATCATTGTCGTTCGTCCCCCTGGGTGAGGTGCGAATTCGC